TTTTTTGAGTCTAGTAAACTTTTTGGCGCCAACTTCACGTGATTTTTATTCCTTCTTTTGTTTCTTTGGATGCACGGAATCTGCAGAGTCATTATCACCCTCCTCGATCGTCTCATCATCATGCTCGTGAGTACTCGTCGTGGTCTCATCACAAGTTGTTGATGTTGGATCATTTGGTACATTCTTTCTCTTACCCGTAGTTGTAGTCGTGGCAACATGTCCATTCAACAACACAACTTGTCTCTTGTGATGTTCTTGGACATACTTGATCATGGCATTTCCAAATTTATTCCAACCCTTCTCTCCAACGGTATCTAATTCTCTCTTTAAGTGATCCTCTGTCAATTCTAAACCTCTCAAATCAATCTTTTTTAATGCTTCATCCACAAGTGCTTTGTGTTTTTCACCAAATGTTTCCCAATGAACATTTTCCACATCACTTGGTTTCACTTTGTAAATGAAATTTCGATCCACACACTTCAAATTCTTATTTAACAAGTACAAGACATTTCCCTCAGTAATGAAATGATTGTATTCATATCGATGAGGTAAATCATGTTCCTTTCTAAAGGCTTCATTCAATTTGAGATTATACTCTTGTAGTGATTGGATATGAAAGACGAGTTGTTGATAATTATTGCTATATTCATAGAGATGATTAATCATGATGGTGTTTGTATTGGTGGTGTTAATATTATTATTATTGTTATTATTGTTATTATTATTACTACTACTACTATTAGTGGTATTGGTGGTAGTAGCCTTACTAGAATTGTGAGCTGTTGTTGGAGTGCTATCTGTATCACTACTACTACTACTGTTGTGTATATGAATCGCATAGGGTAGATTGTTCTCTGGAATGTGTGATGAGATGTCCATCATGATGACATTCTTCATAGGATCATCTGTGGATGCGATGGTGGTATTAGTGGTGGTATTAGTGGTGGTAGAGTTCATTCTTGAATCATCATGATCATTCATCATTAATGCAACACATGGTTGAATAGATCCATCCTGATACAAAAACAACAATGGTTTCAATTCAATATCAAAATCATACTTGACCAAATGAGGTTCTTCATATCCACACAATTCACATGAAATGGAATTGATTTGATCATTCTCAATGAAATGTTTAAAATAAATGTCATCATGATTCATGGATGGGGGTGTGATTGTTGTTGATGTGATTGTTGTAGATGGGGTTGTTACTGACGTGGTTGTTCTAATCTTGAAACTATTGGATTCTTCTTCTATCAACAACATGTTTAACTTTTTCAAACACTTGATAGTCAAATCAAAGAACTTGATCTTGTATTTTTCATTATTCTCAACAATTGGTGTTCCTTTGGTTTTTGCACTGATAAATAATTCCCCTTCATGATTTCTATACTTGTATAAAACAATATTGGATCCATTCCACTTCTTCATAAAACAGTAATAGAACAATCCTTTCATGGATTTGAAATGAGATTCAGGTAATAAGGACATGCCTTT